AATTATCATAGATTCTTAAATATTGAAAAATCAAATTAGGTGTATAGGTAAAAAAAATTAAAATAATGTTAAAAAATAAATCAGTAGGAAAGAAGTCTTCGTATTTTTGACATCAAAAATTGAAAATTAAATATCTGTCTTGCAATACATTAATACATATTATACAAAAATCAATTCAACTACCTATATAATAATAAAAACTTGAATAATACTCGTATTAAAATAAATCATTAATCAAATGTTTGTATTTTATGTATAATAATATTTTTTTTATATTTATTATTTTAAAATCATAACTTTTAGCTTATTAATATTTAGTCATTATTTTTTAAGCTTTTCAATTCCAAAATCATGTATTCAAATAAAATGTTCGAGAGTGGGATATTAACCTATATTTTTTCAGGTAAGAATGCCCATGTATATTACAGTATCTTTGATTTTCAGGTAAAATGGTTATTGTTGTAGGAGTGGTAATGGTAAAAATAGTAAATAAACCTAATATATACGTATCTATATACCTTTTTAATTATATTATATGATCTATTATTTGTATATATTAATTAGGTGTATAGAATATATATATATATATATATAAATGAATTGCTGTTCGTTTGTCTCACTAAAACTCGAGAACAACCAGATCGATTTGGCTAAAATTTTTTTTAAGATGTTCGTAATTGATTGGAGAAGCTTGGAACGAAAGAAAATTTTGGGAAAATCCACCGGAAAAGTAGAAAATTTGAATGTCAAAAAATACAATAGTGGCGCCCTCTGTCCAGAAAAAAGTAAATTAAATAATAAAAAAATTTATTTCAGATTAAAATAATAGTGTATATTGGTTGTTATTTGTTAATTGGGCATATTTGTTGATTTGTATTTTGTTTTTTGTCAATTTATATATAAATTAATGAATGATTGTGTGTAGATCAGACTTCTGGAAAGAAGAGAGGCTAATTTAAAAATGGCTCAATTTGTTTTTTTTTTATTCATCTGATATTAGTAAGGTTATAATTTTGTATTAACTGATTATATTATTCCACTAATTTTCTGGAATACAACAAACTTGGTATAACTTTGATACTTTAGTGTTAAATCATACACTTACGTACGAACATCAAGGGATCCGCGATCTACAGCAGGTAGATTTCCTACCTGATAATATACTGCTGCGAATCAGAATTATTATTATTATTCCGGCTGACGGAAAAATTAAAATACATTTTGAAGACCATCCACTGAATATTAAGTAACAAATTGAACAATGTTTGAGTCATATAGATTTGGTACATAAACGGCTAACGAAGTACACGGGATCAGCTAGTAATTTAATATATAATATACCTATAATATACAGCAACAGCAACTTATTACCAGAAACCGTATTACCATTTTATTATTATTTGTTTTATTATACACACACCCACATACATACACACATTAAAACACAAATACACCTAATCCACAACAAGCACTACAGAGCCGACAGTAATTGTTAGGCGATCCCGACCACTGCTGTTCGAGCTATTACACCATTACACACCCAGCTAGTCCTCCATTATATATTTTTTAGACCTAGGTGTTAGTGGCTTAAAAAAAAGGAGTTTGGTGTCCGGACTCTTATATTATTATATACTCTGGCCCGTACAATACCTATAAATATTCTTATAGGTATATAAAAATCTGGTGTCACGTCTTAGTTCGGGATAAATTCTGAAACTACTGGACCGATATTGATGAAATGTTTACAATGTGTGTAATTTGGCCAAACTTAAAAGATAGGCTAATTAAAAAAAGGCGAGGGTCAACCCCGGGAGATGCACAAGCAGGAATTTAGAGATTTCAGATGGAAATTTTTATTTATAAATGGTTGCCATGAGTGACGTCGTATAAAATGATTCGTTCTAGAAATTTCACCTCAAGATTATAGTGAATCGTTTTAATTTGTTGCCACTAGAACAAACAAACCATTTATTATAATATACATCTACGATTTGTTATTGTACTATATTAATATACGTTTCAATCAGTATTAATATTATTATTACTATTAATATTATTATAAATTATTTATTTATTATTATAAGCAATGATGGGTTTTTAAGCTATATAATAATAATAAAAAAAAAAAACTAATTGCTTTACTTTTTAAATATAAATTATAATATAATATCTAACTACAAAAATATTAAATAAAAATCTCTCTACAGGCTAAACTCTGGAACTACTTATTAAAATAAAATAAAATTAAATACAATTTTTATTCGGGGGAACGGAAAAGTTAAAATTGAACAAAGTTTGAGTCATATAGAGTTGATACATTTAACGGGCAACTTAGTGCACGGGATCAGTTAGTATACAATATATATATTATATATGTTTATATTATTATGCACATATTAATTAATAATAATAATAAATACTTTATTCAGCAATAATTATTTGAAACAGAAGATATATACATATTTGTGATTAAATTGCTTCGCCCAACACTAAGGATAAGTTCCTTGTTTTGATGGGCGAGAGTCTCTAAGAGAATAAAAGAAAATTTAGTTAATTAAATGAACGAATATAATAGTAAAATAAATTATGAAGAATATAATGATAAATATCATTGCCGCTAGTAGTTATAGAAAACAAAACAAAAATTATTATATGAGCAAAATAGGATAGTATATAACGAGGTATAATACAAAAATAAATAACTTTACAGTAGATAAAATACAGTCATATAGCTGGTTCATTGTGTAATAACCATCTCTTTATAAGAAATTTAAAATTTTTAAATTTATCACAGTTTGTTATAATAGGAGGGAGCCTTTCATATAGTTTCAAGCCCGTTATGAGATAGCTGTTATAATATTTAGATGTGTTTATTTTGGGAAATATTAGATTTTCAGATCTTGTATTATGATTATGTGTGGCTGTTTGTGCTAGATTATTTTTAAAGAGGTAGAATAAAGTTTTTTTATGGTATAGTTTTTTAATGGATAGTAGTTTAGTGTCTGAGTATAATTGTTTTGTAGGTTGAAGTCTAGGTTTGTGAAATATAATTTTTAAAGTGGTGTTTTGGGCTACTTGTAAGTTGTTTGTATATGTTAGAGGAGCTCCTCCCCAAGCCACAATACCATATTCTATTATGGACTGTGATAGGGCAAAGTAAGTATTTTTTAACCAATGTGTGTTAAGAAAGTGTTTAGCCATATTATAAAAGGCATACAGTTTTCGTAATTTTAAATTAAGTTCAGTTGTATGTACGTTCCAACGTAGATGTTGGTCGAATGTAACTCCCAAGTATTTGGTTTGATTAGTCCTTTGAATGATAGGGCAATTACATCGTATATTCTGATTACAATTTTGGGCATGAGTCCTTAAAGTAAAAAAGTTTGGTGATGTTCTTGAGGTATTTGAAAATGTTATAAAGACCGTTTTGTTATTATTAAGAGTTAAATTATGGTTTGAAAACCAAGTAACGACTTTTTTGAATGATTTTTCTGCTTTTTTGTTACTGAGTCCCAAGTGTTATCAGATATCAGTAAAGCTGTATCATCTGCATAAGAGTATAGGCTACCATCAATTTGTAGGTTCGATAAACCAGCGACGTATATAATGTATAATAATGGGGATAGTACTGTGCCTTGCGGTACTCCTAAGGACATTGTTTTACAGGAGCTTATAACATTGTCTAATTGGACTTTGTGAGTTCTGTGTTCTAAATAAGATTTAAGTAAATTTAATGCATTGTATTTGATGCCAATTTTGTCTAGGTAGTAGATTAGTTTACTATGGCAAACAGAGTCGAAGGCTTTACTTAAATCCATAAATATACCGATTACTTTTTTTTTAGAGTCCAATGCGTGATGAATTGATTGCGTTAAGCTGTTAATAGCACCTTCAGTGTTAAGACCTTTTCTGAAACCAAATTGTGATGGGGGTAGGATTTTATTTTCTAATTAGGTAATTGGCTAGTCTCGATTTAATTACTCTCTCAAATATCTTAGAGAAATTTGATAAGAGACTTATTGGCCTATAATTTTCTGCTTTACATGGATTACCTTTTTTATAGATCGGAGTTATTATTGCCAATTTGAAACTATCTGGGACTACTCCTGTATTAATTATGTTGTTTATTATAAGTACTAATGGTTCAAGAGCCCTGTCATCAAGTAATTTAATCATGTCTGTTGAAATTTTGTCATAGCCTGGAGCTGTACCATTTTTTAAGGACGAAATTATGTTTTTTATTTCACTTAAATTAGTTTTCCTTATGTATAGAGATTGGAGAGGTAATAATGGATCTATATTGCCTACGGAACTTTCGGTTGTATTAATGTAATTGTTTGCATTATTTGAGGTTATATTCGCAAAATATTCATTGAAATGTTCTGCTATTTTAAAAGGTTGCGTTTTATTTGTGTATGAAGTATTATTTATATCTATATGTAAAGTTTTAATTTTAGTATTCGGATGACCTTGTGTGGCTTCTTTAATAGTTTTCCATATCAATTTGGGGTCGTTATTACATTTTTTAATTTTTTCACCGTAAAAATCAAATTTAGCTTTTTTGATGGCACTATTTAAATAATTTCTACATTTTTTAAATTTTTCCTTTAATTGTAGATCGTACGGCTTTTTCCTCGACTGGGCGTGTAATATATCTCTTTCTTTTATGCTATTCAGTATTTCGGTTGTGATCCAAGGTTTTATTTTAAATATGCTTTTGCGTGTTGAATTATTATACGCCTTTTCTGCTGTGTTTTTTATTATATTAGTATATGATTCAATTGTTTTATCAGAAGAACTTAGATTAAGCATATTTTGCCATTGCACCTTTTTTATTAGCGATTTAAAGGTACTTTTGTTGAATGATTTATAAAAATCTGATTTTCATTAGAACAAGTTAATTAAAATCTAAAAGTTATATTTTTCGGAGAGATATTAGAGTAGGAGAAGATCTTGTTCAGAAAAAATTTTTCGTACCTTTGCATTTTCGTCTTTTCTGATTAAAATCTCTGCGTCTTGGTTGATCCATATGTATTTGTAAACTTTTTCTTTTGCTGTGGCCTGGCTTTACCATGTAATTGTTTTTTATGTTTAGTGAGATGTTGATTTATATATAGGCGCTTATCATTAGACAACTCGGGATTAATGTTGGATAGTTTTAGTGTTTTATTTTGTTTACAGTTAGCGATTATGGCATTTTTCATACCTGGCTTTGCAAGACGGGCTATAATTTTATGTTCACCATTTATCGTAATAGGAACACGATAAGCTTCCTCTACGGTTATGACTGTGTTTAATATTGTCGCAAGCTTTGTCACTGTATCTGTACATTTCTCATTGGTTACCTTAGGTATACCAATAATTTCTATTGTTGCATCAAGATTATTTTGTTCAATGCTATCTAAACGATATTTGAGATTCTCAATATCTTGAGAAAGCCTCTTGTTGTTTTCATAAAGTTGTGTGTTCTTTTTACGTATTTCTTTCATTTCTTCAAGTAATTTATTTACAGTACCGTTGAAATCATCGAATTTTTCACTCATAAATTTAACTGAATTGGCAAGGTCTTGTAATGTGAAATCTGTTGATTTGGTATCCATATTTTTCTTTGAGATGTCCCATTTGTATTTGCATACGTTGCAGACCCATCTGTTTTTTGTATTTTTAGAAAGTTTTTGGAAAGATAGCGTATTTAGACCACCACAAGTGAAGTGGTATTTGCTATCGCACTCAGAACAAACAATTTCGTCTTCCGAAATTAGTGTGTCCTTGCACTTTGAACAGTTGGACATTATTATTTTAAAATTTAGAACGTTGGGTAAATAATAAGATAAGACAGTAATGTACAGTACACACGTCGTATCACGACGAGCGTAGAAATTAGACTGATACAATGAGAAATAATACATAATATGAATGCACAATGTACATATTATATTATATTATATAATATGTTACGGGTAAAGTATACAATTTGGGCAATATAGATGATGGATGATAACTTTTCATTATGTACATAGTATTTAATTTCCTTATTTTTAGATACTGGTAAAATTAACTTGTTAACATCAGGAACTTTTAAGACGTCATATTTTTTATAATTCGGTTTTTTTTTCGATGTACTACAAAAAAATTTTTGGTTTTTAGTGTAACTCTAAAACAAACGTCCTAATAGACACATGCCATTTTCACTGAATGTTTATATTAACATTTTCAATACAATATACAATTTTTAAAATATTTTGATTGGTTTTTAGCTGTTTACGGATATCTACAGTTACCAATTTGTTTAGGTGTTTTTTCTATAGATATCAAGAAAATATTGTATTCTTTAGGTCAAAAAGCTTGGAATTGAATACAAGACTTAAATAATATATATATTTTAAAATGGCAGTTAAAAAATATTTCAAACACATAGTCACAATTGTTTTTTATAAGTAGTTCAAGTTCAGATTTGATAAAAGACGTAAAAATGTACAAATTATTTTAAGTAAGAAATTCCTAAAAATTTTTCTTTTTAAATCTGATATTTTAAAATGTAATACGAGATTCCTATAAACAGGGCTCAGAAGTTGTAGCACTAAAAATGTTACTTTTTAGCTCTTAAATATGTACTTAAACACTCCAAAATTTGCGCTATAAATAAAACAAAAAATATAAATTTAACTTGAAAATATTAAAATTTATTAGAAAAAAATTAAATGTAATTGTATAATTTTATAAAACTGTTAGGCTCATAGACGTCAGGGACTTTAAATATGTTGTAAAAGTGTACTTATAAGGCCTATTTATAATTTCCTAACTAAGTTCATCATTATTTTCAATATAATGTGATAATTTCCTATATTTTGTATAATATGTAGGTATATAATATCATGTATATTTTGAAAATATTCCCAAAAAAGCGCTATAAACCCTAAATTAGCAAAAGAGCAACAAAAACTGTAAATATGCAAAAAATAGCAAAATAAAATTTCGTGTATTATATGAGAGAAGTGTGATACATATTTGTATCTTACTTTGGATGTTCTAGGAAGAACCAAGAAAAATATGCATTTGCTAGAACTTCCGATCCCTGCTTATAAGGTTATCTACCTTTATCAAAATGCCTATAAGAAAGACAAATTAAATATTTAAGAGCATTTGAAGTTCAAATTTTTAAAATATTGTATAATCACTCGTTTTTCCAAGTAGTGGTTTTCTTATTTTGTTGAAATTCAAAAACCAAGAACTGTATTAACTCTCATTGCAGCTCTCATTGTAATTCGTAATGATATTGTTTGTGAATTATTAACTAAAACAGTCATTACTGTTGAGCATTTATTTGCTAAATTCCATGTTCAAAATGTCACCTTTGTTGTTTGTTCCGTTTATATCCCTCCTAATAGCCCGGTTCCCGTCTATGAGTCATTTATGTCAGCTGTCCAGACTATTATCTATCTCGATATTGGATGTGTATTCATAATTGGTTTTGACTTCAAAATACCTGATACCTCATGGTCAAATGATGACTGTGGCCTAAATTATTATTCATTTTCAGGCCCTTGAGAGCAGTGTGTCCCTGATATACTTGCTTTCAATAATTTTTACCAGCTCAATGGAATCTCGAATCACATTGGGGGAAACCTTGATCTGGTGTTTTGAAACAACTGCAGGATTTTGGTAGAAAAATCAGAAGTTGTCTCTATTCTGTGTGATTCTTATCACCCTGCCCTTGGAATCGAATTTGCCTTTGACCTGGATCTTCCACTTCTGGATAACTATCATAAATATATTAATTTCCATCGTGCACACTATCCGGAAATATGTTCTTTTCTTAAGTCATTCAACCGGTTTGAAACTAAAGTCTCTCTTGATTTAGATCAGGCAACCAATGCATTATATGATGTTCTGAATTTTCGGGTACTGAATTTTGTTCCCGAGGTTAATTATTGCCCGTCTAAATTCAATCTGTAGTTTTTTAAAGATCTCAAATCTATAGTGATTTCTAAAAAGCGCTCTCATTAAAAATATAAAGTGTCCCATTATAACAAGTTTTCTTATCTCCGGGTTTGTTATAAATATGAATACAAAATTTGCTATTTAAAGCTTATAAATCTGAAAATGATTTTTTTCTGGGGGTTAAGTGTTTTTAATAGATATTTCAATGAAATCCACTTTAATGTGATGGATAACACTAAATAACAATGTGGATCGATTCTTGAATTTCTGTTACACTCGTTGATAGCCAAAGATTAAATTGAATCCACGAAAATCAGCTAATATTAACGATATTTTCTCTTTGAATAAAGGTTTTTTAATTGAATTACATAATCATCCCTAAAAGTTGAAGATGAATTTTTGTTAAAAATGTAAGGTAATCATATATTTGATTTTTTTTTTTATATTTAACTACTGATTTTAACTTTTATATTTGTGTAATATATAATGTATATTATTAAAACCCTCCAATTTTATCTAATATTATCATCTAGTTCGAACCGCAGTCTAGTTCAGTCCAGCCCAGTCTAGTCCATTCCAGTCCAATCCAGTCCAGTCCAGCAGTCCATCATACTTCGTAACATCATACTTCGTAAGTACCACATTATTAGTCCCCCCTCTCGACCACGAGGCAAGTGTACCCGGGAGGTCACGTGGCCGGGTCTCGCCCCGGAGCGAAGGTAAATCCAACAGCAATTTAAAACACGAAATCGGTCCTCCTCGTGCAATGGCCAAGAGGAAAAACAAATCGTCAAATCCATCATCATTGAAAAGAGGTCCTCAACGACCTCAAGCTAAATCACCAACCCCCTCATCTGAAACCGTGAACTTCGAAGATAGCTGGCCAAGTAGTCCATCATCATCATCACGCTCTCCAACACCCGATCTACCAGAAGACAAACCAACAAACAACTCCGCTCCATCCACCCGTATTCCACCCATTATCATAAATGCTTCTGATTGGCGCAAAGCTGCCCCATCAATCTTAAAAGCTACTAACCACGTTCCTCAAGCCAAGATCACTGCCGATGGTTCCGTCAGAGTTCAAGTCTCTTCCACCGACCTTTTCCGCCTTATTCAAAAAACTCTTCGTGACCAGTCCATAACTTTCCATACATTTACCCTAGCCGAAGATCGAACACTGAAGGTTGTTATTAAAGGCATCCCAACTGACATTTCGGAAGACGACATCAGTAACGAACTAACCAACTTAGGATTCGATGTCAAAATCGTAAGACGGTTTGGAAACAAGTCTAAACCCCTACCTATCTGCCTTGTATCATTATCTAAAAACCCTGCAGCAGCTGAAATCTACGAGCTTCTCCACTTATTTTACTTATCGGTGAAAGTAGAAACCTACAAAAATCTGGTCCGGCCCAATGCTTTTCATGCCAACGGTTTGGCCATGGTTCATAGAATTGCGGCCACCCTCCTCGCTGCGTAAAATGCAGCGGCCCACACGCTGCAAAAAGCTGCATAAAAACTGCAGAACAAGCCCCGTTATGCTGTAACTGCGGCGAGACCCACACTGCCAACTTCCGAGGTTGCGCTTATTACCTACAAAAACTCGCAGAAAAAACACCTCAAAAGAAAACTCCTGTTAAAACCCAAACACCAAACTCTGACAACTCAATCACGGAAACACCAATACTCCAAAACACACCAACCCAATACGCAAGCGTCGTTAAAAAAACTCAAACCACCACTCAAAAAAGCAATGATAATAAAATCAACATTTCTGATGTATTAAACCTCCTGTCAAACTTGCTGAATGCGCTGGCCTCGAACACAGACGTTAAATCAATTATGACACTCACAATAAACTCATTTATCAACATCCTCTCCCCCCTCAAAAATGATTAAAACGCCACTACGAATAATACATTGGAACGCCAATGGCATCAAAAACAAAATTGATGAACTCAAAATCCTCTTAAACAAAGAAAAAATTGATATTGCACTCATCAGTGAAACCAAACTTAAACCTACTATTATTTTAAAAATTAAAAATTATTTCATTTATCGATCTGATAATACACTCCGTCCGGGCACTGCCGCAAATGGTGGAACCGCTGTAATCATTCACCGACGCATCGTTCACCGCCAGGTGCATCAAAAAACTTCTCTAAACTCAACATCCGTTGAGATCTCTCTAGGATCAGACTCAATTCAAATATCTGCCGTTTATAAACGCCCTCAGTCACCTCTCGCTGTAAGCGACCTCAACCTCCTGACAAGCAGCTGTGATTGGTTTATAATTGCAGGCGACCTAAACGCCAAGCATCCCTTATGGAACAGCAACAGCGTTAATCCGGCAGGTCGGGTTCTATACCGCCATGCCCAAAACTCCGACTACGTCGTTACCGCACCCAGCTCACCTACCCACTTCCCAAATAACCCCGTCCATCGACCAGACATATTGGACGTAGCACTACACAAACTCCCAATACATCTTGTTGAAATCTTTAACTTAAATGAATTATCTTCCGATCACAACCCCATTCTACTCATTATTTCAGACTCCCCTGTGACCGCCGCACCGCCACATACAAGTCGTAGAATAAATTGGCTAAAATATGCCAACTTACTTGAGAAATCAATTCTAAACTCAAATGTACTAACAGATACTTCAGAAAAAATCGATTCAGCTCTCCAATACCTGTCCAACACCATCGTGTCCACAGTCGAATCATGCTCATACGTACCCACAAGCCGCTACAATCAACAAATTCCGAATGAAATCCTTGTGGAAATTGCATCGAAAAACCGCATCCGTCGCGAATGGCAACAAACCCGTGATCCTGCAACTAAACGCCAACTTAACAGTAAAATCAAATTTATAAGAACACTCCTGCAAACTCACCGACAAGATGAATGGGACAAGTTTTTGAACTCGTTGGATATCAATGACAACTCCATCTTCAAACTCAACAAAAAGCTGCTAAACAAAACCCCAGCCACTCACCCGCTTTCAGGCCCAAACTCTCTTTTATACAGCGCAAAAGACAGAGCTGAGCTCTTCGCCGTTACTTACGAACACCAATTCACCGAAAACCCTGGCCCAGCCATCCCTGACGTTGCCAACTTTGCCCAAAACATAAGAACCACTCCCTCAGCTAACTGCTTCACATCCCCAGGTACGGTACAAAAAATTATAAAAAATTTACCTAAACGCAAGGCTCCAGGCATCGATCACATCTCAAACACGGCTATACAGTTTTTACCCAAATCCACGGTTCTCTTATTAACGAGAATACTCAACGGATGCATGCGTATTGGATACTTTCCAAAATCTTGGAAACGTGCAGTCATAATCACAATCCCAAAACCTGGCAAAGACCTTCGCCATCCTGCAAACTACCGCCCGATCTCACTCTTATCATCGCTGTCAAAAGTATTTGAAAAGGTCATCCTCACCAAACTCAATGCAGTAATAGGCCCCAAAATAAGACAAGAACAGTTCGCCTTCCGTAGCCATCACTCGACAACCCATCAACTGGTAGGCCTAATCGACCGTCTATCAGTAAACAAAAGCAACAAACAACGCACAGCAGCCATCTTCTTAGATATAGAAAAAGCGTTCGATCGAGTATGGCACTCGGGTCTGTTATACAAACTCCACCAACTAAACACTCCGGCCTACCTGTTAGCACTGGTAAAATCTTTCCTAGAAGACCGGAGCTTCATTGTACGGGTAGAAAATGAAATATCTAGCGCAAAACCTATACGAGCGGGCGTCCCACAAGGCTCCTGCCTCTCTCTCCGATTCTTTACTCCGCATACACAAATGACATACCACTGAACAGTAACGCCTCTCTCCGCTTTTTGCTGACGATACCCTATTCACAACCACTAACCGAAACCCTTCAAGAGCAGCCATTCAGCTCCAAAAACAGATTGACTTAGCGATGGCCTGGTTCCAAAAGTGGAAACTGAAAGTCAACGCTCAAAAATCAGTGGCAGTCATGTTCAACCGCCCTAGAGGCTTTAATGATTTCAAACCCCAAATAAACGGACTAACTATAGAATGGTCTACCAGTAGCAAATACCTAGGGTTAACTATAGATCAAGACCTAAAATTTAAAAAACATATCAATATCATCTCAAAGAGAGCAACAGCTAATATTAGAGGTATGCTATACCCGGTGCTAAATCACGGCAGTCCGATACCTATCAAAACTAAAATCACCTGCCACCAATTATACATAGGCTCAGTTTTAACATATGCTGGCCCCGCCTGGGCGCCATTACTGTCGCGTTCGAACTGGAGGAAGGTTGAATCGGTCCAAAACATCGGTTTACGGACCATTACCGCTTCACCCTGGTTCGTAAACAATATCACCCTTCGAAAATCCACCCGCACAGTCACCATCGAAGACAAAATCAAGATAAACAGCAAAATAATGTTCCACAAAAATCTTACATCTCCCCACCCACACATCCGTGATCTAGGTCGCACAAGGGCTAACCCACTCCTATCGATAAACAAAACTCGCCATCTTGATTGGGCACATTCATAGTAACATATATCAATAAACCAAAACAATCCCGCCAGTCATAGGCTCACAACTGACACTGGCAAATAGGCCCAAAGGCCGTCCTACAAAGCAAAGAAAATCAAAACCCTCCAATTTTAGTCTCAAAGCTTAGTAATGGCAAAATCATTGAACGACAAATTTGAACACTGGGAACCTGACTATGAATAATGCTGTTACATTGCTTGATTCTAAACGGGAAAGCATTGATTTGACTAAATCTTTGAGTGCTCGTTTTGAATCTCTGAAAGAAGATCGTCCAGCTGATAAGCCAAAACCAAAAGTTGACAGATTCGTCGTAAATATTACTGAACGTCTTGGTTACAGTATAAACGCATTTGATTAATCTCCTTTTTCCGTTTGGCCTGTCCGTTTTTCTTCTCGATTTTTAGTTTTTGTAAGCCAATGCTAATATGTCGACAGTCGGACGAAAAAAAGACATTTATTGGGACTTTTTTTTACTCATGTCTGACATTTACCACTTTGATTATCCTTAATATTACATATACATGTTTGTAATTTGGAGAAGTTTATATGTCTTATAATTGTTTGTCAATTTTATTTGTGTTAGTTTAGGATATATTGTGACGGCTAATAAGTTTTCGTAACTTCTATCTTTAACGTTGATGAAAGTCTTTTAATTCATTCAAATACAATAAAATTATTTTGAATTATTTTTAGTTAAATAAATAAATAAAACATAACTGTTTACTATTAAGTTCTTTAATTACGATTGCAAATTAAATAAAATTAAAATATGTTATTTTTTTACACTTACATTATTAGTTACATTATTAGGTATATATTATTTGAATGAGTACCAATTGAGACACAGTTGACTTATTAGTATCTAATACTATGTTATTTTTAATTTTGTAACAGAAAAATTTTAAAAAAGTGGTTGAACCCATTATTTTCAAATTTTCCTGTAGTTATAATTTTTAATTTTTATTTTCAATCAAGGAATTTATTTATACTTACATTTTAATTTTGTTCTAGTTAATGTTAATATAATGTTATCACTAACTTTAACACTAGTTATGGTAATTTGTTACATACATTTTTAAATAACAATAATAACTTTTATTGTTGTCTCTGAAAATTACGTTTTCTGTGAAATCTACTTAATACTTTATTGTTATTTTATCTTTCAGAAAAATAATTATTCTTTTACTTTTGCATTATGACGTTTGGGAGTAGTTTGTGTGTATGATGCATTGACTTATGCACTTAGAAATTTTACTGTACAAAAAGTGAATAGAAATCAACTTTTAATTAATAATTTAATTTATTATCCAAGTTTAATGCCATAAAAGCTGTGTTCACACACACAGTTGCGAAGATAATTACGCACACCACTGCCCTCACGTAAATCTCAAGCTTATCGTACTTTTATTATAATTAATACGTCCTTTCTTAACTATATAAATTAATTATTATTTAAGCGTCTATCAGTGATTACACTTTTGTGGTTTCGGGTTTCTGTCACAGATCACGGTACCGGCGATTTGCCAGGTCACAGAACATGAGACCGGCTGAAATAATCTCCGATAGACCGCATATAAAAGGCAGCACTACCAACAACCTATTACCAGTCTTTTACCTGATCTGTAGCAAGACCCACCCGTGCAGACTTGCGCATTTCAGGTAAAATCCTTCCACACCCGAACTTATCGGAGGGTATTTATATCAGTGAATAGTGCAATAGTCAGAGTATTCTGGCATTTCACCGACTGTCATACCATTCGGTAAGTTCCAACAACCCGTCGTGCGCACTTTAACTCCATACCCTTCGATGTAAAATCGTAAAACAGTGTATACACTATTTGTTGTTAATAAAATGTAAAAATCGTCAGTGTGACATAAAAATAATTTTTTTTTTAATTTTTAACCAAAAAAAAAAAATTATAGCAGTCACTCAAGTCACTATCATATCATCAGCCATTTCTTGACTACTAGTGTCGTTTCAACTACTGAAGTAAACAACTACACGAACCATGATGCTTCCCGTCTCCGCTGGATACATTGAAGCAAAGGCCCGTGTAATCCGAGGTACCGACAGAATCACTGCGTTCATTTCAGCGGCTGGTGAGTTTAAGGCTGATTCAAAAAATGTTGCAAGACGGGCAAAAATTGAGCAGATGCTTCGAGAACTCAAAGATATCCTTTGGAAAGTTGAAGAGGATATCCAGTACATGGAAAACGCGGTCAGTCAAGGGACAGCTAAAATTGACGTCAAATATACATCCAGTAGTCGTGCACTCTCTACCACGTTCGATAATCTGTATTATGAACTTGCTGCCTTTGCAGATGTGCAGAAAATCTCACTATCACCTGTCCTGGATCTATCGCTCTCAGCAACCTTAAACAAAACCATCGGAAGTGGATCAACTAACGTATCCCATGACCAACTGCCAAAACGATCTTCCTTCGAAATCTTCGAATTCCCGATCTTCTCTGGCATCATTACTGAGCGGCAAGGATTCGACGACCTGTTCAACTCAATTATGTCACATGCCCCAGAACTTCCCGACGTCGAATGATTTGAGTTTCTAAAAACGTCTCTTGAAGGTGAAGCGTAGACAGTCATACCCCATCTCGTCCGCAAATTACCACAGTGAGTGGGAAATATTACGAGCTCGATACGGGAATAAGAGAGACTTGGCAAGAATCCACATACAGGCTCTTCTTGCCCCACACAAAGTACTATCTACCTGTTCAATCAAATCACAGATCAATACGACCCTTGAACACACTTCCGCATTGGACAATCTAAGCCTCACGACTCGTCAGTGGAGCCCAGTGTTAGTTCATATATTTGAGCAACATCTTGACTATGAACTTCGGGCCCGTTGGGAGCTGACCCTCGGTGACAGGCACCAACCGCAGTTGACTGAGTTCGTTGAATTTCTGCGAAGTCACGTGCGGGCAGCCAAAGCACACTTGAGCGAGACACTACTCTACGGCCAGTCCAGGTATAGCTGACTCATTAAGAGCCAAAACTAAACCACCACTATCAAGAGGTTAGTCATCTAAAGTTCTTGTGGCAGCCACCAAATCCACATCGAGCACAACCATTAGCTGCCCACTATGTAAGCAAGCCCATTCATTTCGAAAATGCGAAATATTCGAAAGCCAAAATCCAAGTGAACGATTCCAAACGGCGAAGAAGCTGCAGTTGTGTATCAACTGTTTGGGATCTGGACATACGTCTGCGGCATGTCCATCAAAGCATACATGCCTAGCAAGTAAGAAGCCGCATCATACGCTTCCACACTTCCCAGATGATGCAACCAAGGGTGACAGTGTTCCGTCAGCAGCTACGATGTTTACTGCCACTCAAAGATCTCGGCCGATCATACTGTCATGTTGACAGTGTCAACATTACTCATCAGTGTTGCATCAATCGACTACCAGAAACATACTCTGCGAGCACTATTGGATACGGGATCTCTGGTCAGTTTTATCACGAAGCAGTGTGCAGATCGCCTCTCTGTGACCCGCCGACGTTGCACTACAAAAATCAGCGTGTTCTCAGGCACACTGGTTACCGTGGTGTCTGGCATGACCACAATCGCAATGTCACCAATAAGCCAATCTGAACCATATATTCCTCTCGATGTTCTTATTGTGTCGAAAATCACAAATGTCACACCTCAAGAAACTATTCAAGCAACTTCGTGGCCACACATAAATCAACAAGATCTGGCAGATCCAACCTTCCACACTCCAGGGTAAGTTGACATCTTGCATGGCGCAGACGTCGCCTCAGCTATCTTCACCGGTGATCGCATTGCTGGTCTTCAACATCATCCAACGGCCTTTGGCACTGTATTTGGATGGGTTTTGATGGGACCAGCTGAAGCAATGACACCCAAGCCAGTCACGTCAACGTTAGTCACCTCTGATTCAACACTTGAACAATCCTTGTCAAAATTCTGGGAGATGGAGGAGCCACCCCATAAACACCATTTGAGCCCAGATGAAATCCAAATAATATTCACGTCCTCAGTGAATAGTCCGGCGTCTGGTCGATTTAGCATTGCGCTACCATTAAAACATCCTCACCCAATCCTTGGAGATACTCCGAGCATAGCTCAAACACGATTTCGGTATTTGAAACGCCGATTGTCGTAAAATGAAGAGCTTTCCCGAAATATAATTAGTTCATAAGGGATTACCTCGAGAGTCAACATATAGAATATAAGTCCCGATGAATAAAATAATGAGCCCATATTGCTACTACATCCCACACCACTGCATCGTGCGTCCTGAGAGTAAGACAACTAAACTCCGAGTCGTATTTGATGCATCTGCTGTGACCACCACGGGACAATCACTCAATAACAACCTATATACAGGTCGCAAGCTTCAACAGGACTTACCACGGATTCTGATCCGTGCCCGAGTACACAAGGTTCTGTTTACAGCTGACATCAAGCAGATGTATAGGCAAATTGAAATTCATTCTGAAGACCGTGATTATTTACGGATTCTTTGGCGATTTAATCCTGATGAACCAATAACAGAATACCGTCTCTGTACAGTAACATATGGTACATCCTCTGTTCCTTTGCAAACCTTACAACGCCTAGCGAAGATTGAGGGGACAAATTTCCCCATAGCTGCTCAGATCTTCATGCAAGATGATCTTGTGGATGACATACTCACGGGGACTGATTCCCCAGAAGCAGCTTTAGTTTTACCTCCTAGCGGTCGCGCTAGCGGTGTTTACACCGCACCATTGGGAAAAACCATTTTATTTAATTATACTTATCGATAAGATTAGTATGACCCCATGCTATTCCTACACCATGTATTTATAAATATAATGCAATAGTTAATTAATAATTAATAATTATTTTTTAATATGCACAATATTATGTTAAAATAAAGTTATTTGATAAATTGAATTGTTTGTAAATGTCATTGTAAATTATTCCTTAAGTGTATTATGCAAAATATAATATAACACTTCTAAAAATCTACACTAAAAATAAAGAAATAAAATAGCGGTGTTAACTCCGCGGCGCGACTGCCAACGAGATTTTCATAGGCGCGACCTCTAGGAGGTTAACAATCACAATTAATTGCTCTATGCAAACAAGGCTAATTTCAACTTCAGAAATGGGCCAGCAACTCTCCCGGGATCCTTCATGCTGTATCAGACAATGAGCGTTCCATGTCAACTGATGTACTATTTGATGATGAGCTGGAGGCTGGGCTGAAAATCCTCGGGATGCAATGGAATCCAAAACTAGATCATTTCTCTTACAACTTTCAGTGTCCAAATGCAAGTACTAAACGCTCAATCCTTTCGGATCTTGTACACATTTTCGATCCTCTCGGCTTTCTCTCACCTGTCACCTTTTTGGCAAAGCACATGATGCAGTTATTATGGACATCAGGAATCGGATGGGACGATCCCATTCTCGAGCCGGTGCAAACAATGTGGCAGCGGTACCAAAGTGAAATTCAATGCATACAAAATCTGAAGATTCCCCGATGACTCACCACAGAAAGAGAAACTCAGTATGAACTCCACGTCTTCTCAGACAGTTCCGAAAAGGGTTATGCGGCCGCAGTGTACCGACACTGCGATTCCATTAACCACGTGTATTGCAACCTCGTCACAGCCAAATCCAAGGTGTCACCTCTGAAACGAGTGACTATTCCACAGTTAGAATTGTGCGGTGCAGTGTTGGCAGCTCAACTGTTGCATTATGTCAATGAACTTCTCAAACAACTACTATCCATCAACGCCATGCACATCTGGACTGATTCGACGACCAGTATCGCCTGGATTCAATCATCTCCACATCAGTGGGCTACGTTTATTGCAAACAGAACGAGCCAAATCCAGAGCCTCACACCACCATCACTCTGGCGATATGTTCCAACCAGCGAGAATCCAGTAGACTGCACGTCTCGTAGACTCTACCCTTCTGAACTTCTGAAACATCCAATGTGGTGGAATGGACCTGCGTTCCTGGTCCAAGATCACAGTACATCGCAATTATGTTCTGCTGCGGCCGTCCCAGACCTCGAAGCACGACCCACAGTCCTCGTGATAACCCCGAACAGCACCATTTTCGACCGCCTCTTCTGTCGAATTTCATCATTAAAAAAGATCATTCGCATCATCGCATATTGTAAACGAGTTTTTGAGAACATTAAACCCAACAGAATTGAACCAACAATCACTGAACTAAGTCACGCACTGGAGGTCATTATACTCGCCGTACAAAGCCAAGCATTCGGTGACGAACTTACGCAGCTCCGAGATCCTGCTCACAAAGGCGCTAGCAAGTTACGTGGCTTAAATCCATATGTTGACAACCGTGAAATCCTTCGAGTTGGAGGTCGTCCGGTCCACGATGATCTTCCGTATGAGCAGAAGCATCCTAGTCTTCTGCCGAGGACATATCGATTTACTCACTTGCTAATTGACGACACCCACCGTCAACACAAGCACCCGGGGGCTAAAACACTACAAGCCATCATCCACAAACAGTATTGGATTGTTGCCAGTCGCCAAGTTATTAAATCCCGTTTACGTCACTGTATTGCTTGCTACCGAATTCGTCCTCGAGGAGTCCAGCCCGTAATGGGAAACTTGCCAAAATTCCGTTTACAGCAAATAAAGCCATTCACCGCAGTCGGGGTCGACTACGCTGGTCCAATCACGTTAAAACCATCAAAAACACTCAGCACTGTACCATGCCAAGCCTACATATGCCTCTTCGTCTGCATGGCAACCAAAGCGCTACATCTTGAACTCGCCTCAGACTTGTCCACAGAAACTTTTCTGATGGCCTTAAGTCGTTTTAATTCACGCCGAGGCCCAATACAACAGATGCACAGTGACTGTGGAACCAACTTTGTAGGTGCCTCCAAGTAAATAGTTGATAAATTCACGTAATCCACTGAACACCAGGAAAAGTGTAGGAACTTTCTCACAGCGCGGAACATCAGCTGGCACTTCAATCCACCATCTGCACCTCACTTCGGGGGTCTTTGAGAGGTTGGAGTGAAGTCAACAAAAACATTGATTTATAGAACGATTGGTCTCCATCGACTCAAGTACGAAGAACTCAGTACCCTTTTAACGCGGATCGAAGCCACACTAAACTCACGGCTGTTAAGTGCACTCAGTCCTGATCCATTGGACTTCGATGCACCAGCGCCCAGTCATTTCCTTACACTGATGCCCAGCACTTCAACCGTCGATCCGAACTTAGATAACATACCAACGTCACATTATAAATGCTGAAAACTCATTTCGGAACTACACAAACACTTTTGGAAACGTTGGAAAAACGAATACCTACAGACTCTCCAGCTTCGATCGAAATGGTCAACCGGTCAAAAGAACCTAACGGTCGATTCATTGGTCCTTATTCGAGAACCAACTCCTCCGTTGTGCTGGAAGCTTGGCAGGATCACAGAAGTACATCCAGGACAAGATGTTGTCGTCAGGGTAGCCACCGTCAAGACTGCAACCGGGCTTCTCAAACGTCCAACAGTCAAACTCTGTTCTTTGTCAATATGTTGAATGAATCCGGCAAAGCGGGCAGCATGTTCACACACACAGTTGCGAAGATAATTACGCACACCACTGCCCTTCCGTCAACCTCAAGCTTATCGTGCTTGTCAGAAAAGTAGAAGGACTCAATATCGGGTTACGAATACTTTTTCATAGTACGATTCTTGAAACGATGTATACATATTATATAATAAGGTGAAATTATTTTTAGTAAAATCTAAATTCAAATTATCGTATGGATAATCTATAGAGTTCAGAAATACTTTAACGTTTGTTAAATTACAATGGTCAAATATACTACAATTATTTGTTAGCAAATTTTTACGTCCTTTTTGTAATCCAATTATGATAAATCGTGGTTTTTCTAATTTCGAAGCAGTTTTCAAATTCCATACAACTTTTTTAGTGGTTCCAAGTTCAGGATATTTAAAAGTTTCAAAAGATCTAAAAGGGATAAATAGACTTTTTTCTTTTACTATAAGTTTCAATAATTTTAACCTTTCTTCGTCGTCAACCGTTATATGTGGGACCTTCCAGACTATTTTATTTAAGGGGACTTTACCTTCAGTGGCAGTTGCACCACTTTTAACTTGTAAAGTATTTAAATCACTATGGCTTCGGGTTAATATTAATTCCAATCTAGAATTCACTAATATTCTTTTATAGTCTTCAAACAATCCTAACCAATATTTCAATGGAATGCAAGCACTAAATTCACCTTTGTCATTTTCCGATTGCGTTGCGTTTTTTAAATTTCAGCCAGCATTTTCATAACAATTGTAATTATCTGGCGTACCGGATAAGTAACCTTTCAACGAGCTAGTGATTCCAAGAACACGTGTGCTATCTACTTCTATCCCATTGATTTCCAATCGTATTTGTTCAAAGAGGTAAGAGTAACCGTTATTAGATTTCACTTTGGTAGCATCAGTAATTGTTCATTCCAAAAAAATAAAGCTTTCGTATAGATATGGGTAGACATCCGTTTGCTGGATTGATATACGTATATTTTCATTATTATTATTAAATGATGTATTATACGGTGTGTAAGAATGATATTCAATTTTCGTAATTTTAGAATCCGTTTCGTACTGTGAAGTTATATCTAAAATATCACTTTCAGGCATTCTGCTTTAATTGGTAACCCAGAGCTTGTAAAATTTTTTTATTCTGCACCGTCAATTTTTTATTTTATTTGATGTTACTGGTAGCACTTTAGTCTTATGACTAGTTGAACTGATCCGAAGTAGTGGGTTTATATTGAATTTTAATCCCATCTCAAGACCCGTAACGTTTAATATATAACACAATTGTTAATGTCTCACCAAAATTGTAAATCGGATTCTGATCTTGATCAACTAACTGAACGGTTATCGTATCAATATTTGTCTTATTCAATTTGTAATAAATTAAATTCGGTGGTGACTGTACTACTTTCGATCCTGACGTTTCAATAGGGAAAAACTCATAAATCGAGTGACTTTGAAGATGGTTGTTGAATGATCCTTGAGCTATATTGCATATTACTTTTATAGAATTAATTGTGTTTAAATTAACAGCTTTTTCCGATCGATGATGTACGAGTCTTTCATAATCTGGTTTATATTCTCGCTTTTCAAAACCCAATACAGGTGCTATGCTATGTAAAATCTCAAAGTGGAGTATTCCATTACATTTTATATTTGATCTAAAATCGTGAGGATCAACCGAAATGTCAAATGTTAACTGGGTTTTGAATTTTTCATTATAAATATTTATTTGTTCCTTAACTCAATGCTTAATATCTTTGATTTCATAACATCCCTCTTCCAGTTTAATATAACACCACATACGATCATCATTATTATTATGGTCGTCAACTTGTATAGAATTTATTATTGTCATTGTTGATATTCGGGAATGAATTGAATGTCTGCAAACATAACAAAGCAATTGCTGAGTCTTCGTAAAGCTTTATAGACGGAAAATAATTTGCAGATAATATGGTTTTGTCCCCGGTTAAACTTAAAGTAACTGACTCGTACATCCTGATATCTGAGATATAAATTTAATAATAAGATTCGTGACGTTTTATATGTAGAACAACTGTCAATGTCTCATTTAAGTTATCGATCGGATTATTGTTTTGATCAACTAACTGCACAGTTATTGAATTAATGTCTGTTTTGTTTAATCTGTCTTCTTCTTCTTCTTCTTCTTCTTCTCTTGGCTTTACTATTCTTTAAGAATTTTGGCCGCCACCGTCACCGTTCTCCAATAATCACGATCCTGAACTCTTTCTTCCCAATTTGTCACTTCCAATGTTTCTAAGTCCTTCCTTATTCCATCCATCCATCCATTGCCTTCTAGGCCTCCCTCTTGGTCTTTTCCCTGTCAGTTGCCACTCCATCACTGCTCTCGTACTAGTGGTTTCTGTTTTCCGCATGGTATGACCAAACCATTTGAGTCTTTGACACTTAATGTGGCTTGTTAATAGTGGAACTTCATTGATATCTCTTAGTTCAGTATTTTTTCTTCTACGTCAATTATTTAGCTCACTATCAAACACTGGACCACAAATCTTCCTCAATATTTTATTTTCAAAAACTAGCAGCCTTTTTTCTAACTGTATGGTAGTGGGCCATATTTCACAACCATAGGAACCATTGGTCTTATTATGGTCATGTACAATCTGATCTTAGTCCTTCTGGAAAATAATTTTGATTTGAAAAATTTATGTAACGCGAAATAGACCCTCTCTGCCTTGCGTATACGACTTATGATTTCGGTACTCCAATCATTGTTATTGGTAATCGTCGTTCCAAGGTACTTGAACTCTTTAACTTTCTCAAAAGTATAGTCATTGATAACCACGCTTTCTTCCCCATTGGGAAGTAATTCCATGACTTTCGTTTTATCTTGGTTTATTTTTAATCCGACTGATTTAGCACCTTCTACAAGTGTGTTTATATTCTGTTCAACTATTTCCATGCTATCACCAATTAGGTTTAAATCGTCAGCAAATCCTAGTATATCAATTTGTGTGGTACCTATATTGGTTCCCAGGTTGTTATTTTTTACACTACGTATTATTTTCTCTAATGCTATGTTAAATAATAGTGGTGAAAGCTCGTCCCCTTGTTTCAACCCAGTTATGACTTCAAATTCTTTGGACAACGTTTGGTCTACTCTCATTTGATATTTCGTGTCATTCATGCACATCCTTGTTAGAGCGATAATTTTCCTCGGGAAACCAAATTCTTGCATAATATTGTAAAGACTATCGCGGTGTATGCTATCGTACGCTTTTCTGAAGTCGACAAACACTTGCCAAATGTTTTGTCTAAACTCGTATTTTTTTTTCTATTAATTGCCCCACTATTGTTAGCTGGTCAATTGTCGACTTACCCTTACGAAAGCCACTCTGGTATTCTCCAATGTATTTGTCAGCTATTGGTTCAAGGCGTTTTAGCAAAATCTTTGAGATTATTTTATATGCAGAGTTCAGTAAAGATATTCCTCTGTAATTGTTGCAATTGAGTTTGTCACCTTTTTTATATAGTGGGATTATTATGGATTTTTTCCAATCATTTGTCAGCACTTCTGTTTTCCAAACTTTGTTACAGATTTCATGAATAAGCTTATGTAATTCCTCGCCTCCGTACTTAATTAATTCTGCTGGTATCCCGTCAGATCCTGGAGATTTCCAATCTTTTAGACTATTGATGGCTCTTTTAGTTTCTTCTATACATAGGTCTTCCACTACTGCATCAGCTGTATGACCAGTCCACTCCGGTATTGGTACCTCAGGTAGTTCACTGTTTAGTAATTCTTCAAAATATTAGCGCCATCTAGTTGTTTTCTCTTGGGGATCCATTAAGATTGTTTTATTATCCTTATCTCTAATAGCTTTCAAGCTTGGGTTAAATATCTTATATCTTTTGATCTTCTGGAAAAATTGTCTAATTTTTCCTTGTGAGTAATCTTGTTCAGTACTACGTAACACATCGTTCATATAAGTTCTTTTTTCTTTTTGTATAATGCCTTTGCACTTTCTTCGCTCATGTTCAAAGGTTTCTTTTGCCTCTTGCGTTTGGAGACTGAGGTATTTTAATCTTGCTTCGTTTCGTTTTTTTACTGCGTTCCTACATGTATTATTATACCATGGTTTTCTTTGATTTTTTGTCTCTCCAATCGTGTTCTTGGTGGCTATTTTTATGGCTTCTTGTACCATAATCCAGTTATCCGTGGCCTCATGTTGTCGTCTCTCTAATAACTCTTTTCCAACTGCTTGTATGTATTTTTCCCTTCCTTCATCGATTTTTAAGTTTTCTAAGTTGAATTTGGCTGCCGTCTTCCCAGTCGAGTAATTCTTCTTTAGTTTGAGTCTAAACCTGGAGACGACTATAAAGTGGTCCGTGTCGCAGTCTGCCCCTCGGTAGCTCCTCACATCCGCTATACTGGATCTGAATCTTGTATCTATAAGTACATGGCCTATTTGATTCACTGTACGCCCATCAGGCGATTTCCAGGTGTATTTGTGAATGTCCTTATGCGGGAACGTTGTGCTACTGATAGTCATTTTCCTGGACATGGCGAAGTTGATTAGTCATTGTCAATTGTTATTACTTATCTCATGCACACTATGCATTTCGATTGTGGGTCTAAATGATGGTTCCTTTCCCAATTTAGCGTTACAATCACCCACTTTGATTTTGATTGTATTTCCTGGTGCTTCATCATAAATTGTTGCTACCTCTTCAAAGAATTCATCCTTATCTATTTCGTCTTTATTTTCAGTTGGTGCGTGTATATTAATGATAAACATATTCATGGGCTTTGTATTTAATTTTATTGTACACACGCGTTCAGATATCGGATTAAACTCTTTTACAGAGGACAGAAGATTTTTATGAACAGCGAATCCTGTTCCAAACTGATGTGTGTCGTTTAAGCCTTTATAATATATAACATAATCATTCATTCTCATTTTTCCAGTTCCTGTCCATCTTATTTCTTGTAGTGCTGCTACATCTATGTTGTAATCTTTTAATGTATTTACCAAGTTTTGACACGCTCCTGTTCTATATAAACTCAAAATGTTCTATGTCGCAATCTTTATCTCCTTGTGTTTCCATTTTCCGTTTCGGTTCGGTATTCCAGGTGATCCATTTGTTATCCGAGGCAGTGTTGGTGGTTTCTTAACAGTATGTTTTTACAATGCAGGGTTGTTGGCCCTACGATTAACCTTCCATACCCTGGAAGGGGGGAGGGAGCTCGGAACCCCGGGTTCGCTAAGAATTTTTTTTTTTTTTTGATAAAGATAGATAAACTTATGACTTATGAGTAATCTTGTATTACATTTTCAAATCTTAGATTTAAAAAGAAAATTTTTTATGAATTCTCAACTCAAAATAATTTGCTAATTTTTGTGCTTTTTCCATATTTTGTCAATTTTTGAACTTTAAATACTTATAAATAAAACTGTGACTAAGGATTTTTAATATTTTTCATCTGCCTTTGAAACAATGTACTTTTAATATTTACTTATGTACCTACCTATATAATTGTACTAACAAGGCACCAGCCCAAAACCCAGCCAAAGACAGCGGCCCATTGTCCTCTAGGACAGTAGACCACTGGGCCAGTCCAGCCCTGTGTATAATTCTTGTATAACTTGTATAATTTGTATATATTTACTAAACATGTTTATCCTGTTATCATAAGCAACCTGTATATTATTGATAAGTAATATTAAGTCCCTACCTTCATCACAAGCTATGCTTAAAGAAGGTAGGTATAAATTTAAGATTTATTGATGTATTTATATTGTACAATTAATCTTTTATTTAAATTTAATATAAAAAAAATGAAAAAAAATATGGAAGTATGGATTGGTACAACGCAAAATAAACTACACGCATTGTGTGTTTAGGTACCAGCTTTTTTAATTTATAGAATTTAAAATAAATAAATAAACCACACATCATTGTAAAATCAATACATTCATCGCTCCTTTCGGAATCTAAAACAACTTTATTAGGTTTTCTTTAAAATTATAATTATTTATTGACGATAATTAACTTTCCTAATTATTATCAATCATCATCATCACACTCTCAAATCAACGACGACGTATATGAACACTATGAACGCATTATAATATTATCATAATATTCATAATTTGCTGGGTTTTCGATTATAGGAGGCGCCATCTAACGATACTGGCAGCAAATAGTAGTTAATATAATTATTATCTACTATTATACGGGAATTGGCGTTGATTATTTTAATTTAATTTTAATTGTTCACGATATTCCAGGCATTCAAAGAGACTACCCACTGTCTACCACCAGCCATGGTTTGCTATAAATTAATGATATTATACATTTTGTTAAATAATAAATATTATGTAAATTAATCGTACGTTGTATTTAAACGAGTTTTACTGATGTTGGTGTGAAATATTTAAAGTCCGGGCCACTCGACAACATAGCATAGGTATTGGCATTGAGTATATTATAGATAATGTAGAGAGACCATCTTGCCTATATTATGATACGTAATGAATTAGTTCACCAGAACTGTAAATAGAGGGCGCACCGCGTTGTAGTGAAAATATAAAAATGATAAATATAATATTATATTATAAATGCAAATGTAATTGTGCAGTTGACACCTCTAAGTAGGTAATTTAAGTTTCATCACCATCATAGCTTTGCGATACAACCTTGCTTAATTTGGTCATAATTAACGTTGCCATTTAGGTACAACTTAGATGTATGAATATTAATAATAATAATATTTTATTTTCCGATCTGCGGCAAGCGCAAGTTGCGGCCCGCCCGTCCGCCCTGACGATTACTTCACTACTCGTGGGCTCAGAACCAAAAGGTGCTATCTCAAAATATCAAATTGTTCAGGAGAGCCATTTTAAACTATTTTCAACTTAAAACTGCATTATCTTTTTTCGTAATGAATGATTTTTAATGATTAGCACATCTAAAAATTCACAAAGTTGTTCTGAGTTAACACTAGCGATTTAGTTTTCTTAAAATCAAAATGTAACGTAAGAAAAATAAAAATGTAAAAAATTTCCGTTAAGAACCAAAAAGTTCTTCAGATAGAACCTTTTGGTTGTTATTATTTTTTTTTCACTTAGTTAGAACTTTTTGGTTTTGAATGAAATGTATGTTTTCACTATGATGTTACCAACCTCAAAATAATAAATAATGACATGGCATTGGCTTTTCACTTGAGTAGAATAGATACCTAACTTAACCTATATACATGACCGTACCTGTAGAAGGGGTTACCTACTTTTAAAATTTTAAATGGTAATAATGCCATCAAATGAACATAAGTAGGTACTAAGCAATTAGCTGCATTAATTTGTAAAAGCAATTTTAAGCCTTTGCAATAATATTAAACATTATGTTTAAATTAAATGTATTGATAATATTATATTAAATATAATTTATATCTATAAAATATTTTAAGTACCTAGGTAAATATCTTACTTAAAATGAATACCTATTACCTACCTATACCTAATTCTAAATTATATATTAGGTATTATTTTATAGGTACTTACTTGTTGTTAATGTCAACTTGTTTTTCTGCTAGCTTCATTAACTTATTGGTACGGTTTCGTAAGTCGTAACCCCGATGACAACATATTTTTTTTCTATTATAACGATAATAATTGACAAGATCTTGGATCAGAATTATTAATGTTGAGGCATCCCGTTAAAATAAAACCAAAATAAAAATAATATTGACTAAGGACTAAGGTAAATGTACCGTATATTTATTAAAATTATTTATAGAAATCTTTGTTTTGTTGATAAAAATGTACAATAATTAATAATATTGTACCATCATATTATTATTGTATGGTTAATACAGTGAATATGAGATAGTACTTTTTGGTTATCACTAATTTTTTTTCTTCTTATAGATAGAACCTTTTGGTTTTAACACTATTCTCAAGAACCAAATGGTGCTATCTAGATCGCTATCAAATAACAAAAGTGTAAATTTGATCGATTTAGCACCTTTTAGTTCTGGATAACTCCTTAAATAATGTACTTAAAAAGTTGGATGTGAGTTTGGATTATAGACCATTGACCAATAAACCTATTTATATAAAAAAGTGGATTTTCGAAAAAATCGATTTAGCACCTTTTGGTTCTGAGCCCACGTACTGTGAAGCTTACAAGTTACATTATAATTTACCGTCTTTATTGATTATAAAGTAAAATCATATTTAACGAAATAAACAAAATTACAATGGATAATCGTCGACTTAAAATGTTCAACAAATACGTCTATAAATTTAATATTATTAGGTACATTATTGTTATTTATTGAATAAACCGTAAACCGTAAACAAATATTATTTTTACCTTTAAAAACTTAACCCTGAATACTAAACCTAAATGGCTAAATGCAAGCTGAATAGTTTGTTAATGTATTGCACTATAGCATATTATAAAACAAATAGGAATATTATTTTAGTTGAAATCTCAAATCACTAACATTACCTAGGTACTCAGTATACCTATAGAAATAGAAATAATGAATACAATAAAAAATACAAAATATCCTTAGAAATTAGAGATACGGGTTGACCCAAAGTTTCCGATCAGAAAATTAAAATTTATACTTACGAGAAACATTGTATTCAATTTCCAAGCTCTTATAATTACCACTTGAGTAATTTTGAACTACAAAATAATAACTTGAAAGTTTCCGTAATTTGTTCGAATTTTCTCAAAATTTGGACTTCAGACAAATTAATAGTGGAAGTACACAGTATAGTATAGGTACCTATATGTATTTCAAATATTTTGAATTTTGAATCATTATAAGAACAACTTACTTGGGATCTTATAATTAGTGAGGTATCAAGATTTTTGACGTGGACTTTAAATTGTTATTAAAATTGAATAAAAAACTAAAAAAATTAAAATCCCTATTAATTGCTTAAAATGAATCTAAATATTTTCTAAATTTCATTGTGTAAATAAAATTATACATAATTTATGTAATAGTAGAATGTTTCTACGATTAATATTTTTTTAATAAAAACAAAATAAGAAAAAATGTAATTATAGGTACCTACGTTTGAATAATAGTTTTAAATAATTTGTAAATTTTCTTCATTTTAACGAATTTCGTAAAAATGATAACTTTAACCAACTATAAAATAAGATTCTGACTGCATTTTCAATATTTTTTAATTGGCAAATGAATATAAATAATCTTGGAAATGGAACCTTGCACTAAATGTTGAATCCTTTTACTTAACATTTGGTTAAACCTAGCCACCTAAGGACTAGGGTTAATTATTTTTAAATAGTCGACAATTTAATATGTGTAAAAATAACACAAGTAAACCAAAATATTTTGCCTATCAAATGCTCATATTAAATCTTTGGTAAACAATTCAAGATTTCAAGACTCTACGTAGAGTCTAGTAGGTACCTACTATACCTATATAGTATATATATATATATATATATAATATATGTTCAATGAACATAATTGTTCATGCTCTACACTCTACAGTTTTACTATTCTAAAAGGTATTGAGTTCTAATTTATAAGTATGTTGAGTGATGATATATAATGGTGCAGAGTGTTCACTTTACACATGCTGGGGAAGTGGGTTTTAATATATATAGGTATATAAAAATACCAAAAGTAATGGCTATCATTTCGTATGCTTTGTACCATTGTATAGATTACAATGATGGTATTTAATGCTCAAATGCACAATACACATACTCAAAGTATAGAAAGTTTGTAAGGAACTCAGAGGATAAACATTTTAACAATATGCTCTAAGAGCATTGCTCTTAACAACTTTTTGAAATTGGTGAAATTCTTAAAAAGTATAATAAATATGTTAATATAATTTATATATTTATAAATTATAACTAATATAATATACAGCTATTAACGGTATTTTATTGAAACGTGGTG